GTAATGTTTTCTCGATTCTTGATAAGATTACCTTTTTGGTCCTTGAGTTTTTTCAAAAACTTCAGTTTTGGTCCTCTTATTTTTTTGTTGTCTGCTTTCAGTTAGTCACCAAAATCTAATATTTTATATTTAACAGAGGGATTAAAAAGCTATCCACGACAAACAAGCTCTTTAGTGAAATCACAAATGGAGCAAATATCTAGCATTCCAGACCGAAACACCCTGAGTAAACTAGTGTCGTTGACCAACAATAGTCAACAACAGATGGGTCCACGGGCCCCACTGAATAATGGTGCAACAACCCAAACCCAAACCCAAACCCAAACCCAAGCTGCAGTTGCACTATCAAACTTTCAAAACATGCTAATGAGACAAAACTCAATGAATTCAAACTCCCAATCTCAACAACAAGAAGCTTCTTCTTCTTTCAACAACTCAAACCAACAGAATTACCTGTTTCAAACCGGGTCGGGTGGGTTGTTAAACCCTAACCCACATATGATCCAACAACAACAACAACAACAACAAAGGCCTATTTTCAATCAACAGTCACCCTCTCACAGTGGCAGTCAGATGCAGCAACACATGATCCAGCAGCTTCTTCAAGACATGAGTAGCGGTGGTGGCGGTGGTAATGGTGCAAAGCCGTCGCATTCTGGGCAAAGTGCCGCCAGCGGGAGTATGGGGAGATACGGGATGTCATCATCGGGTACTTCACGGCCGCCAGCTGTCCCGACTAGAAGTAATAGTTTTAAGGGGGCTTCACGGAGTGATTCGTCTGCTGGTGTGGGTGTGGGTGTGGGTGTGGGTGTAGGGGTAGTTGGGGTGGGGGTAGGTGTAGGGGATCGGAAAGATTTGGGGAGTCTGTGTGATGATATTGTTGGGGATATAGGGAGTGAGTTTAATGGGAGTGGGTTTTTTGATAACGATGAATTGGAGTATGGTGGTTGGAAGGGCTGAATTTGGAATTGTATCAATGTACAGTTTGTATTTTGACTATTGGACTATTATCATCTTATACGTTGACATCTTTTTTTTTTTTTTTTTTTTTTTCCTCAATGAATGATGTGGGCCGCTGTGCATGTGGGGTGGCCAACGCAGAATTTATGTAAATTGTTATTTAGTTGGGCTGTAAAATCACCCTGTAGGCATGAATAAGCTGAGGTGTACTTGACCTTTTGCTTGTGAATGTAACGTAAAAAACAAAAACCAACGTTGTTGGGGCTTGTTTGAGTCATTTTGTCGCGTGCTTTGTGAAAATTGTTGTAAAATATAAGCATAACCAATAACTATAAAATCGAAGGGTTGCTATTTCAGGATGACCATATCAGTCATATTTATCAAAAAAAAAAAAAAAAAAAAAAAAAAACCACTTATCCTGTGAAATAAGGCCTGTACGTTAACAATCACTTCTTTCCCAAAAATAAACTCGTTTTGTTCTTGTGAGTGCAATTTCTTTCGTAAGAATTGCTTTAAGTACAACATGTTTCAGAAAAACCTTGTAAAAGCGCCTTGGTATGTTCTCATGACTCATGAGTCGACAATTTAATTTGTATATAAAGATACATTGAGGCAAGGACAAACAATAAACTTCTTATACCTCCGAAAAAGTTGATGTTTTCTTTAAAAAATGTTTGTTAACAAAACTCATGCATATGAAAATTCTGATTTATTTCCAAATAAATTGTTAAATGATATTTGGTTTTATATAGTTTACATATATCCAATTTTATTGAATCAATACTAATATTCTAAATTCTGCTTTTGATTTAACAAACAACTCAAAAATATCTCAACATGTTGGGATTTCATTGTCATTAGTGAACAACTATCAACAAAGTATTGTTGTTGCACTACTCGGTGGTGTGAACTACTAACCTCTACTGAATTCAATTTACTATGCATTTGCCTCTTCTGACAAGATCATCATATTCATTATTCACACCGAGAAAAACACATAAAAATTACTTACTTTCTTTGTGCTTAGTATAGGATAATTAAGGTTTGAAAATTTTCAAAAATCTTTTTTTATAACTTTCGTTGTTTAACCTTTTTACTAATGTTTTCTTAATAACATTTCAAAGCTTTTAAACTTTTTCTATTTTATATATATATATATATATATATATATATATATATATATATATATATATATATATATATATATATATATATATATATATATATTAACATTATGAGGTTGTAAAAAAGTTAAAAATAGTTGTAAAGTAAATTAAAAAGGTTAGTGAAAAAGGATTGAAAAAAAATGTTTGAAATTGGTGTAAAATAAGTTTAAAAAGAGTTAAAAACGTTTAGAAAGATTGTTTATTAAAAAAAAGTTGCAAGAAAATTATAAAAAGATTGTAATTTTTTTAACAAAAGGTTGTTAAATATTTTGTCCAAACGTTTCTATAAGAAGTTTAAGAAATTTTCTAAAAAGTCAATAAAAATTGTACAGAAAGTCTTAACAAATTATAATTAAAAAATAAAAAATAAAGCTTGGAGTAGATGTGTAAAAAACATATTTGGAGCAAATTTAAAACATGAGCAAAAAATATAAATATGTAAACCACATAGTAAACTTATAATAAAAATGATAAACTACAACATCTGAACGGTCCATGTCAACCTGTTCAAGGTTATATGAGAGGTCAATCGTAGAATATTAGCAATATCTTAAATATATCAGTGTTTGAACAATGGGTCTTATGTGTGGAATTCTACACATCATTGGCTTTCATTGCAAGGTTGGTAAAATTATAACATGTCAAACTAGATAAACCTTAAATTCCTTATCTTCTTACATAATAAATTGGTTTTGTTGGAACTTGAAGACAATTTGAATAGTTTGTTTAAAAAAAATTAGTTATAAAATTTTCTCATAAAATTCACTATCAAATATAAAACCAAACAACACAATAGTCATTCCAAGTCCCACCACCTCAATGCATCTCTCAAAAGGGCCAATTAACTTTCACAATGAATATGAGAATGTCAAAAAAATATATATATCAAAAAATTGTTAGTAACATAACGTTAAACCGATTTAACAGATCACTAATCATCGCAACATCCTATAATCAGGATACCGATCTAACCGGTCACTAACATAACGTTATCCTATATACCAGGATATCGAACTAACCGGGCTAACATAGCATTATCCTATATACCAGGATATCGACCTAACCAGGTCACGAAACATATCAACATCCTAACTACCAGGATGTAAATCAATAAGCATATCATGCAATGAACCCGAATACAAATTTGAAAAGGGTCGGCATTGACGCCTTTGACCCTGTTAGTATAGCGAGGACAACTCACCTCACAAGTAGCTCGGAATAATAATGTCAAACTCCTCTAAATACAGCTCCAACTCTAACACCTACATCCACCAATGATCCACTTCCATAAATTCCCAAATTACTAAAATACCCCTAGAAGTCAAATTGGTTAACCCTTGGTCAAAGTCAAAGTCAACAGTCAAGGTCAACAGTCCATGTTGACCCAACTCGTCGAGTGCAGCCCACTGACTCATCGAGTCCTTCCAGAAGTTGAGAAATCGTGAAAATCCTAGTTGACTCGTTGAGTTTCCAGACAACTCATTGAATCCATATGTGTCCAAATGTCGGGAAAACCCTAACCGACTCGTCGAGTCCATGTAGAAACCCACCACGACCATTCTTCATCCGAATCGTTGAGTCGACCATGTAACTCGTCGAGTCCCTTCAATCAATTTCTCATTCAGACGATTTTAAGCTACCCCAAAGCTCCAAATTGCAGATCTAACTTCCTAGAGCATGGTTTCCACATAAAGTTGCAAACTTTATGTACATGCATGGTCCTAAATGCCAAAACCAAGCTATGGAAAAGGTTTAACCCAAGGAGAAGGGCCAAAGCTTGCTAAATCTGATAACTTTATGACTATAGGGACTTAGAGGAGTCCATATCTGAAGTTACAACTTCAGATCATACCCGATACCCAAAATAACCCACAACCAACTAGAAAATGGCCCTAAACCTTTACATGAAGGGATCTAGCTAAAGATAAGTCAAGGTAACGACTTGTTACCTTTAAAATGATGCTAAGATGAAGTAGAGTCAGATCCACCAGCTTCTCTTTACTCCAAGCTTCTTAGGGTTTTTTGAGCTTAAGAGGGACGGTAAGGGAGGTTGAGAGAGGCTAATGACCCTTTAAACAGGGTGCAAAACCCTGGAAATTAGGGTTTCATTGTCCAACTGCTACTCGTCGAGTTGGGGTCCTCCAACTCGTCGAGTAGACCCCTTAAATGCACGTGCGCTGAATCGTTTCTACACGACGAGTTGGGGCATCCAACTCGGGTCTAAGAACATGACTATAAACTTTTAATTTTATACCTGGGAGTCGGAATGTTACAACCTTATTGAAAAAAAGCTCTAATTCTTTCGCTCTTTCCTTCCCAACCCCTACTAATTTTTTTCTCAACTACCTTATTTATAAACCTTTTACCCTTAAACAATGAGAGTTATGTCCTATCCCCACGGTTATGCCTGATATAAATTGAGGAGAATGATTGTACTTAACCCAAAGCGAGTTCACACTAACTCACAACCTTATGTTAGTGGTCTTTTTATATAATCCCCAAAGATATATGCATCTTGATATAAGAAATCAATCTTTATGATTATATTAGTGTATAAATCAAGAAAAATTAGTTTTTGAATAGGGATTTTGAGTTGGGATATACCGTAGTTAATCATAATCATGAAGTCCAATTTATAGCAATACACAACAATCTATGTATTAGATGGTTGTAATATATACCAACAATTGTTGATCTATTTCTTTTATGTTAGAGACCTTAAGTTTATATATAAACAAATATACTACATTAAAACAGATTGTGATAGACGGCTATAATGCTTACAAGCAAAACTATTCACAAACATGTTTTTTCTATACAAAACCACAAGTGTTCCATTTCTGAACCAAGGTTCGAGGCTCGAACTCATTTCACTCAAACCAAGTGACACGTGTTAATTCCCCGAGGACATATGAGTACAGAATCCAATGACAAACCTCCTTTTTGATGAGTACAATCAATTTGTGTCATTGAGAACTTGATCTTCGTTGATTCATAATTACAGTCACGATCAACAAGAAAATCTCCCACATGATAACATATCCATTTGCCTTGCTCGTTTAGAAAATGTTTAGACATGGCATGCTCACCATTTGAAACCCAAAATCTAAAGCATACTGGATTGATTGCCCAACCATGGACTTGATCATTGTTAAATGAACCATGTTGGATTTGTCTTGGAGATACTTTTCCAAGATATAGACGAAAATATAAGCTGTAATTCCCTGGTGGGAAATCAAAATCAATATCTCCTTCAACTTCTAGCCACCATATTTGTTTAAGGTATGCAATTGTATGAAACCTTCAAAAAAAAAAAAAAAAAACAATAATAACGAATAAATTAAAAACCTTAAGTCAAAACAACTATAATCCTCGGGTGTTTATTTGTAGATTTTTCTTGATGTGGTTACTACCATAAAAACAATTTGATAAAAGCTTAAAAGCGATAAATACTCGTGTATGAATTTAAAACTAAGTATTTTTAATTAATCCGTAAAATACTTTTATTGAAGGTGCATACAAAATAAACATATATCTTGTGTAATAGATAAATACGTTAGCATTTTTGGCATTATTTAATCAAAGCGTTAGCTTATTTATAATCATTAAAATATTAAGAGAATTTTAATTTTGAAGCAAGATCTCTTGTTGTGTATTGATTGGAGAAGAGGATACGTATGTGTTTGGGAAAAAGAACGTGAGTTGGAAGGCAAAGAAAACTACGAGGAATATTAAACAGATAATATTAGTTTATTTATTTGAGATATAATTTTTTATTTGGTTTAGTTATTGCTAGTCAAATTCAAAATAGTTTTGTACTAATTAAATTCATCCGAAAATTCCATTTTTACAAAAAATACGATGTTTGGTTTAACATATAACTCATATAATTAAGAATAAGAAATAAAAATTGTAATTGAAAAGTTAAATCTTGTCAACATCTGCATATCAGAAGTCAGAACTATTCACATGCATATCGATCGTTAAATAATTACGGGAGAAAATCTTAAAAGAAAATAAGAAATTGATTTCCACATATCGAAGTTTTATCAAAATACTAAGATAATCATTAATAATTAGCACATCCAAGTAGTTGAACGTTGTCTCTGTTTAGTTCATTCGTTAAAAATGAAAATACGATATATTTTATGATAATAACGATGAATATAGATTTATAATTATAAAATGAACTAAAACCTGGATTGAAGAGTAGAGACATGGGTCCAATATCTCCGATCATGTATTCCGGTTATCTTCATCCCTTTCCAAGAAACAAGCATGCATATTCCACCTCTTTTCTTCTCATTCCAGACCTCCTGTACGTCGATCAAAACACACACTAATATTCAAACCAAACACCATTAATTAATACATACAAAGAGATGGAGCTGATAAGTAATTAATAATATATACCTTGGTACCATTTGATATGCGAATGGGATAACACAATCTACTATATATATCTTTCTTACGCAAACATCTGAAACTGCTATCATCCTCGTGTAACATCAGCAGTTTCTTGATAAGAACACCATAGTTTTCCGGCAACTTTGACTCCCACAGTAAATCAGCACAAGAAGCCTGATAAAAAGCACGATTCACAAGGGCCAAGTGACAGATCTCCGGTGGGTCAAAGTGCTCGAGGACCATAGCTAAAAAGTTCTCCGGCAAGTCTCCCAAACACTGCAGGCTGCTGCTCGCCGGAGCTTTGTCATTGTTGTCCGAAAAGATGCTTGAAAAACCAGAACCCATATACAAAAACCAAAAAAAGTGGAGTGATATTGTTGGTTAAGCGAGAGGGAGAGATAAAGCCGGTTTACGCCGGAGGCATGAATTCTTTGGGCAATTATGCATCAAGTTTTCTTATGTAAGACATGTGCCCGATCCTTTAATTTAATACTACTTTATTCATAACAATGGCTTATTGTTATTAATAAAAGTGAATTTCACAAAAATACCAACTTTTTTTTTTTTTTTTTAATTATATTAGCACAGTTATAGACTTTTAATTAAAGGGAAATTCATCATCAATTTTGGAACTTGGTCAATTTCGACCTACATTATAAATTGTGAAATACTTTTTTCCGAGAACTATTTCGGAACATGTAGTGTAGTATCTGGTATCATAGTTACAAAATAAGAGGTTTTAGATTTCTTAAACTTACGAAATATGTGGTTCGATGTTTATAAAATACGGTGAAGGTTCACAAGTAATCCACATAACAAAGTTGACTTTTTAAGGTCAAATTTGAAATATGTAAGAATTTCAAGACAAATAGTTTCTTATACGTAGCATTTGCAATTGATGCATCACTTGGTCCGGTAGTCTTTTAAATATAACAACCTGTAGATAGATACCCTTCTTAATTGAGAGCGTCAAATTTTGATTTCAAAAACCAAAATTAGTCTAACCACTTGGCAATATCGCATATGGCGACAATCCAAGTAGCAAGATACAACTTGCCCAGTAATTAATGTATATGTGTAATGAAAATATAAGCTTGCATAGTAATCGATGTATACATGTGTTGCTATAATTGCTATTATGGATAAAGAAAATATAACTCTGCGTAGCAATCAATTTATAACCACAGATAAAGAAAATATAAGTATGTTGTTGGTATGGACGTATATATATTTTATGTTAAATATTATCAACTAAGGGTGAGTGCAGTGCGGTTCGGTATGATTATTAGCAAAAACATCACCACTAACCGCAAATGCGGTTAATCCATTTTCAAAACCGTTTGGTGCTGTTATTTTTGTGGTGTGGTTAGGCGGTTATTATTGGGGTGCGGGTTTGTTTTTTTTTGTGTTTCGGTTATTAACTGCAGAGATTTTGTACAGTTACTTTGTGTGGTTTTTAACCATATTTTGGAATTCAAACAGTTTTAAGAGTTAAAATATATTACTTGTAATAATGAAAAACCATAAGGTATAAGACGATTAGCTTAAATTATAAACGAATAATATCTTAAAAACATTAAATCACTAGTAATTAACAATAAATATCTTAAAATTGTCAAATTTCATTATTTTCCAAAGTTAAACATAAAAAAAAAACACTTTTGTATTTTAGAATTTTATCTTTCTTTCCTCCATAAAACCTATCGGCATAATTTAGTTCTTCCGGCTGTTAGGATGAGGTACCAACAACGCTATTTAAGTTTCGATTAGGGACTATCTTTGCAAGAATTGAAACCATTGAACTAGATGTGATATTTTTCACAAACATCCGGGACCAGACATGTAATTTACTCCCATGGAAGTGAACCCCCTAGACGGCACTACACATATATTGTGGTTTTATTTAGCACCGTCCTTATTTCAGTACAAAATTAATAGAAGTTTTGTTTTAAACATCACCATTATAATTATATTAATCATAGAATAATGACGAACCAATTAGCTGGACTTATCTATTTATCAAAAGATTATCAAAATAAATATTACATGGTTTGCTTTGAGCCACATATTATTCTTAAGTGGACTCATCTGTTCTATTTTGGCATATATATGCAAAAGAATTACGCATGTAACCCCTAATTATGTCTTATCAATATTATAGAGAATTTGACGCTTACTTGCCATACCATTTATTAAACTCTTCTTTTTATAGACTTAATATCTGATTGTTTTATATAACGACTAAACAAAATATACCGTGCATCTTATAAGTTATAAGAGAATTTCGATTGGAAATTTACCAAAATATTATTTCTAATCATTTTCCAAAGATAAAAACGTTATACGTTTTTAAATAGATGGAGTATCAAAAAGTATGTTAGGAATAAACGAAGAAAAAAAAAAAAAATATATATATATATATATATATATATATATATATATATATATATATATATATATATATATATATATATATATATATAGTTAGGTTCATGTAAGACAAAGACAATTTTGTGAGACAGAAGAACAAGATTTGAACCATTCATCTATTGTTATAAAAAACTTCGATCAAATAACTTGGAGGCGGTGGTGTTTTTGTAAATAGATGGAACTTTGGGATTAACTCTTAGACACAGAGGGGTAATATTGTAACTTTTTAATTAACATTCTGCAATCATGATTCAAACAAAAATGCTTCTCATTCTTCTCCACACCAAAAACCTCTCATTCATGTAAAATCCTACCTAAACTCGTTCCATATTTCTACGCCATTGCATAGATATTTCTTTCATTCTAAACCCTAGAAAACATATTCATCATGCTCAATTTTCATCTCTTTCTACTTTGGCATCTTGTTTCCAATTTTCATTTGTTTCAGATTTCATCACGAAAAACCACTAGAACAATCACAAAAATGGCTCATTCTACACAAGCAAAATCCAATTAAACACCCAGTCAATCTCCACTTCGCATTTTCCTACTTATCAAAAGGTGTAATTAGATGCAATAATCTAGAAAAACCCATCAATAAAACCCTAGCTTCTTGTTCGATAGGAAGGCATCAAAAACCTTAAAAATCGCAATAGTCAGAGATTTCAAGCTCCAGTACAACAATTTGAAGGTTTTTTCTTCTAATCGAGCATCAATCATGGCTCACTCTACTAAAATCGACTCAAATTCTAGCTCTCATTTGTGTGTGATTTGCTAAAAGTAGCTGATTCTCAATTAAAGGCTTCGAATCTAAGTTTTCAAACATAAAACTTCCCATGATGACTTAAAAGATCCAGATGCTGAGGAAATTACATCTATTACAGGTATTTTAGGTTTCAATAATTGATAAATCATTTTTTATTTTGGGTAATGTCTTAATAATATTTGATTTGCTTATTTGGTGAATTATAGATTTAATTTTAAAAGTTGATTTAGTGATTAATGACATGATCTAATACTAAATTAGCATAATATGGGTTGATATGTTAGTATCCTATGTATGTTTATATGATTTTGATTTGTATATGATTTTGATTTATATAAATCTGTGTATTATAAGTTTAATTTCTTGATTTGGTATTCAATCGAATCTCTTGTATGTTGAAAGCTTTAGAATGTTACTAATATTTGACGTTTGTAGTTAATGTAAGGCAGTTTGTTTCATATTCATCACAACAAAACACTAATATGGTCACAAAAAAGGCTCATTTACACAATCAGATTATGATTATATACATCATCAATCTCCACTTTGCAAAACATGAACTTGATTAAACCACTAAAGTCTACATATTCTAGAATGTTTTATATGATCTTCTAATTATCCTATGACGTATAATGTATGTTTTAGTATAATTTTTGATATATTCTGAATTGCAATGTATGTTTTAGTTGAATACGCTGTATATTTTGGATTGATATTTATTTTATATACTATTTTTTGTTACTGTGCGATATTTTAACTATTCTAATTATTATAATGTATGTTCTAGTAGAATATTCTATATATTCTGAAATGTTATTACATGATATTCTTGTTATTCTATGAATTGAAATGTGTGTTTTAATATAAAATTCTATATATTATGCTTGTTATTATGTGTTATTGTGAAAATTCAAAACACTAGAAAACAAAATCATCAAGCTCGATTTTCATCTATTTCTGAATCAACATGATTTTCTTGATTATAATTTGTTTACGATTCTATCACAATAAAACACTAAAAGGTCATATAAATACCTCATTCTATAGATTCATATTAGTATTATACACCTGATCATTCTCCACATCACAAAATAGGTATCGATTTTGTCCATATTTCATCTATAACTTGGTAATAAACTAATTCTAATTTATGTAGTTAGACTTTATGATATAGTTATTGTGATGTATAAATCAACAACAATTCAACAGGTTTTATTATTCATGCTCTTTAATTATCCTTGATTTTGATTCTAGTTATTCAAAGATTATGATTTATGAAACAATTTTTGTTATGTAGCTAGGTTTTGCAATGAATTTATAATATCATATAAAATTTTTTTTCTAGATTTTTAAGATGTTACAGGTGTTTAAACTAAAATTAAATCTCATATTTTAATGTTATTTTGCGTATTAGTGGAATATTCTATAAAATGTATAACAAACTGATGTTTCAAGAGTTGATATTCTAGATATTCTGATATGATTTCATATGTTAGTTCGTAACTTTATTTTATTATATGATGTAGTGTTTTATAACATTTAAGTTTAATTGTTTATGATTTCTTTAGAGTTTATGATATAGATTTATTGTATGCAGTTTTAGCTATGAATTTTAGAATTTTCTAAGATGTTACATGTATTTGAACTATAATATAATCTTAGATGTTATTGTTATTTTGTTGATTAGTTGGATATTTAAGAAAAGTTTAACAAATTGTTGTTTCATAATTGATTTTATAGTTATTCTAATATGATGTCATATGTTACTTCATAACTTTAATTCAATACAAATGATTTGAGGATAAAATATTCAAAGAAAGTTCTCAAACAAAGGAAAATTATGATTCCATTGAAGGCTGTATATTAGTTATTTCCTATGTTATGTTAATTAATTGTCTTCTAGTATAAATTTAGTAAAAATGTTTTTTCAATTTTGATATTCTATGTATTCTTATTAGTATAATCTAAATTGAAATGTTATTGCATTATTTAATTGGACGATGCAATACAAATAGAGTGATATAAGTTTTTCTATCTAAATATTCTCATTTTGTCTAAACTACTTGATATGAACATTTTGGCAAAGTAATGTGTAATATTCTGAGAGCATTTGATATACTATGAAGTTATGTGAAATATTGTAAATTTACGTGTCATATTCTAGTTTCAGACATTTTGATTTTGTTAGAAACAACTTGTTTTCAACCTTTTTGTTAAGTAATACATAATATATTATTTTAGACATTGTGATTTTGTTGGAAACAACTTGTTTTGAACATTTTTGTTATG